CCCATACGCTCTGGGACGCCATCCCCGCTGGGGGAGATGGGAGGTTGGCGGACACCTGCTCTGGCTGTAGGAAGCCTGGAGGGAGCTCGGGGGACACGCCGAGTGACACCCACCTGGCTGGGCGAGGGGAAGACCGCTCCCCAGAGCAGCAGCACGCACAGGAGCTCTGTCCTCATCTCGGCCACTGCGCTTCCTTCAATCCCTAAATCCTGGGGGAAGAGGAAAAGGGCTTAGCCGCGGGAGGCACAGGGCCGGGGCGCAACAAAGATGGGGGTCCGCGGCACCAGCTCGCCCGGTCCCGCCAGCACCAGCCCCCACGGGAGCAAGGCCCGCGCGCTCGGGGTCTAGAAGAGGATTTCTCGCGAATGTGTGTGTGTGTGAATTTAATATTTCTGTTGTGGTAAAGTATACAGGACACAAAATTTACCACTTTAACCACTTTTTTTTTTTTGAGACAGAGTCCTCGTTTGTCGCCCAGGCTAGAGTGAGTGCCGTGGCGTCCAGCCTCGCTCACAGCAACCTCAACTCCTGGCTCAAGGCGATCCTCCTGCCTCAGCCTCCCGAGTAGCTGGGAACTACAGGCATGCGCACCATGCCCGGCTAAGTTTTTCTCTATATATTAGTTGGCCAATTAATTTGTTTCTATTTATAGTAGAGACGGGGTCTCGCTCTTGCTCAGGTTGGTTTTGAACTCCTGACCTCGAGCAACCCACCCGCCTCGGCCTCCCAGCGTGCTAGGATCACAGGCGTGAGCACCGCGCCCGGCCTACCACTTTAACCAGGTTCAAGAGTGCCGTTCTGTGGCGTGAAGCCCCCTCACGTTGTGCCATGTCACCGCCTCCCATCCCGGGACGTCTTCGTCCCCGGCTGAAACTGTCCCGAGAGACGCCAGTTCCTGGCTCCGTCGGCTTGGCCCTGGCACCTGCCCTGGCACCTGCCCTGGCACCGGCCCTGGCACCTGCCCTCCCGCTCTCTGTCGCTGGGGTCTGGCCGCTCTACACGCCCCATGGAAGTGGGGCCACATGGCATGCATCCTGCTACGACTGGCTTCTCTCACTGAGCGCGATGTCCTCAGTTTCCCTCCGTGCTGTGGCTCGCTGAGAACGTGCTTCCCCCTGAGGCTGAGCAGCGCCTCCATGGGGACAGGGCCTCGTCTGCCCCTCCGCCAGGGCCACCCGTGCTGCTGGCGATGACCCGGCCCCAAGGTCTCAGGGGGCGGGAGGGAGGGCCATTGCTGACCCCGCTTGGCACCTGGGGACCGCACCGCCCTGGCCTGTTTCCCGGGAGGGTGTTCCTGCCCTCGGCTGGACACCGCGGAGCCTCAGGGGTGTCCTGTCCGGAATTTCCAGAGGAAGCTGTCGGGACGTCGCAGCCGGCCTTGCTGGCGTGTGCTCCTCCTCGCTGGGGCTGTGGCCGGCTCTGAGGGTCATTGTCCAGCACAGGGTGGCTCCCCCCACCCGCCTGGCCTCTGCCCGCCCCACTGCTCCTCCCGGCACCTGCCCCCTTGTTGGTGGCCTGCAACGATCGATCGCGCTCGAGCGAAGTGCAGACCCGGCGCCACCCAGGGAGACGGGCACCTGGGTTTTGGCCGTTAGACTCACGTCTTCCCGGACCTGACTTCCCAGCTTCCAGCTGCCTTTTCCGGCGACCTTGCCCTGGGCAGCGCAAAGTGGGGTAGTCGGTCGGGCGGTCGGCAGGTCGGGCGGGCGCTGCTCAGGCCTGGCGGCCCCTGGATCCCCCGAGGCCAGCGTGGGGGCCGGGTGTCCCTGTCCCTGACTCATCGCTCTGCAGCCATGACAACTCGGATCCCGGCCCTCCCCCTGCCGCAGGGGCCTGGGGCCTCCCGGTGCAGGGTCTTCCGGGATCCCAACCCCGCCCCAGCCGGCTCTGGCTTCTGGATTGTTCCTTTGACAGTTGGAGTGTGGTGCAAACAGAAAGGGAGGCTGAGGCGGGAGGCGCTCTATGCCCGGCTGATCCTTCCCGGGCCGCTGGGGGCGGGTGGGGTCCGGCCACGGCGACTCCGGCCTGCAAATGCCGGGGAGTTCTGTGCCGCAGAGGCAGCTGCCCGGCCTCCTCGGGGCCTCTGTCCTCACACGCCATCGCCACACCCAGGCCTCCGTGGTGCAGGCGGCGGGAGCCAGCTGGGGGCCCCTCTCCGGGTCCAAGGCAGAGGAAGCGGGGAGGTCACGGCCGCCCACGCCCCTGAGCAGGAGCTCGCGGTGGAAGCCCTAGACACAGGGGGACTTCCGGGCTCTCTCTTCTCGGCTGCCCTCCAATTGCTCCTTCCTCAAAACTTCCCCAAATCCCTCTTACTTTCCCCTTTTTATTGCACCCCATTACTTATAATAAATCTTCTTGGCCTGGCACGATGGCTCGCACCTGTAATCCCAGCTCTCTGGGAGGCCGAGGTGGGAGGATCGCTCGAGGTCAGGAGTTCGAAACCAGCCTGAGCAAGAGCGAGACCCCGTCTCTATTATAAATAGAAAGAAATTAATTGACCAACTAAAAATATATAGAAAAAATCAGCCGGGCATGGTGGCGCATGCCTGTAGTCCCAGCTACCTGGGAGGCTGAGGCAGGAGGATGGCTTGAGCCGA